CACAAACTGCAGTGACTATTTTCCTTATTCAACCGATGGAGAACGGATCAAACTACGAAGCCGGCTCGTTGACTGTTTGCTCCAGGGACTCTTTCCCAGTTCCTTAACGTTGGAGATGATCCTCCCTCAGGCAGCTCAGACCAATTCATAACACTCCAGCTTTAATTAGGATTAACTAGGGGGTGAGAGCTAATTACCCAAATCAAATCATATTTACATTAGGAAGCCTAGTTTTTTAAAAACAACAACAACAACACCCAAAACGTCATCTTTTTGAATGGCCTAAAGATGCTACTCAAAAATGATTTTGTCTACTAGAGGTTCCAACCGGCCATATTTGAGTCCCAGATTTTCACCTGATTTGCTAAAGCTGACATTTACTTACTTACTTACTTACTTACTTACTTACTTACTTACTTTACTTACTTACTTAACTTATTTATTTATTTATTTATTTGTTGCATGGCCTACAATGTCAGGAAACCTACAAAGGGCAGAATGCAGTCCTGACCGCCTAAATTACTAGTCCGTTCTTTTCATTGCTTGCCTGCCTATCCTTGGTGCTCCGCAGGGGGAGAGCTGGTTTATACCAGGTGAGTAGCAGGTGCTTGAGTTGCTGGCTTCTCTGGATTCTTCCAACCAGTTGGAATGGGACCAACTCACCACGGCCAAGTTTGGCCCAGTCCTGAGTACTGTATCCAACCTGTGCTTTGGGGGAGAAATCTAGAGACATATAAAACTTTCCTTCCTTTTTCTTCCTCTTTAACTGCAAGAAACTTATCAATGGGCAGAAGACGGGAAGGGGGAAAAAAAAAACCGGCCACACGTTGAGCACCTGTTTGACAGCTTGTGCAATTTGCTGCGAAGTGCTCCTTAAATAAGGCGCACCACAGAGCCGTCAGCTTGAAAGGTTAATGACTGTGGCAATCAAACTTTCCTTCTGTGGCCAGGAGGAAAGGACGAGAAGCCAGCTACAAAACGGAGTTTTCCCACTGAGGGTGAATCATCAGCTCGGCCCTGGAAGCCGGGAAGCCGAAAAACAGCTGAGGGCCCTGCTAAATCTATCTCCCAATTACAATACAAAAACTATTTTCTTTTTACTCAACACAAAACGCTTTCTCCAGCGACTCGGATTTGGTGTCGCTCGGCTGTAAGAAATCTCCCAGTAGCTATTTATTCATCAGATAATTTGCCCTTGTGTAACAGTTGTATGCTACTTATCCCTGTCTTACAAATGATAACCTACAGCCCTGTTTATTGTCTTGTGATGCTACTGTTGATCACTACTTAGCATACACACCTATCCAGGCAGGTAGTCCTTGATTTATTTATTTATTTATTATTAATTTATTATTTACAACCTTAATTAACTTGTGCTGGTCGTTAAGGGGTTCATCACACCATCGACCTGATTTTCTTTGTAGCAGCTGGGAGGTGAAACAGATCAACGCGGTTCTTAATGTGCTTGTTAAATGAATCCATATGATTCTTAAGATCCATGGTTGTTAAGTAATGGGTGTTTTTTTGATCGAAACTGGAAGTAAATGCTGGTTTCCAGTAAAAAATCATTGTACAGTGTGGTTGTGTGACTGAAGGACACTGCAAACAGCTGTAAATGAAGGCTGGTTGCTGAGCGCCTAAATGCAATTATGTGACTGCAAGGGGACAGTGTCCATCTGAATTCTGTGTCATAAGCACCTTTTTTTTTATTTAAGCAACTGGCCGTAAGTCAAGGACTTACCTTCACGGAGTGCAAAACACAGACCCCAGTGAATAAAGGGGAGGCATCTAGACAGGTCCCCCTACAAAGCACTCCAGAGGATCAGTCCCACCCATCCACAGTGGTGCACTCCAGTCCTCGGTTAATAACGGTAATCGCCAGGGGATATGGTTACGAAGCACAACGTCATACGACTGCACCACTTCACAGCAGCAACCCTGGTGTAGCAGGAAAGTCGTGAGGCTGAGGGTGGTGGATGCCGGGCAGGGGAGAATCTCTGTTTGCAATTGCTTCCGTTTCCTGCAGGCTTCCCCAATGACTTTGCTTTTGTAGGAAGCTTGCAGGAAAGCTTGCAAATGGAATCGCCTGACTGTGGGGTAACTTCAACTGCCATACATGTGAGCCGGTTCCATCCAGCACCCATATGTGACCATGAGTTCACATGACAGTGAGGGTGCTGAGACGACCAGAAAGTTGAGTTCTGGTCGTAAATATCATGATACCATTGTAACTTTGAACTGAACAACCAAACACTTACCAAGGACTACCTCTACCGCATCTCTATTATATCTGCAACGCGAGGGGAATACAATTTTGTGTACTTTGGGTCAACTTTGGGAAGCCCTGCTCAGCATTTCCATTAGCTAATCCAGCTACTGAAATTGCTTGGGAGAGGCAACTGGAGCAAGGGAGAAAAAAAAAAAGGCGTACCACTGTTTCATTCTGAGGAAGCGACAAAGTTTGCACCTTCACAAAGGAAACTTTGAAGAGACATTTAGCTTGAGTCTTCATAAAACAAAACCTTCCTTCAGCGATCTCCATGGCCATCAAAATCCTTTTTTTAAAAAAAAATGCATTTCCCGTGAAATTTGTTTGGTGACACTGCAATGGGTGAAGCGACCCTGGGATCTTGCCTCTGATTGCATTCTTGATCTTCAGCTAGAACAAGGGCAGTCAACCTTGGCTCTTTTATGACTCGTGGACTTCAACTCCCAGAATTCCTGAGCCAGCTAAGCTGGCTCAGGAATTCTGGGAATTGAAGTCCACGAGTCATAAAAGAGCCAAGGTTGACTACCCCTGAGCTAGAACTTCATTCTCAATGACAAAGCCTATTATCAAGAGATTCCTTTCAATATAATAATATATAAACTGCTTCCAGCAACTGATCAACTAAAGGCTGATGGATCTGATAATTGCATCTTCCCACCCTAACCCTTTTACTATTGTGTCGGAATTACAATAATTCCACGTACTTTTGAAGTGAGGGTTTCAATATAACACAATTGCAACCAGCACTTGCAGAACAGTAATATTTGTCACAACACTGCTGCAATACCCCAGAGATTGTCCTTCCCAGAAACGTAACAAAATGCTCCTTTTCTGCCTAGCAACTGTCCAGTGAAGGTAAGCAAATTAATAGCTTCACTGGCTCAGCTCAACAAAAAGCTTTGGATCTATTGCTGGAAAAGGGGAATTGCTCACTGTCAAATACTCGGAAATGGCTAGAACTTTTCTTAACGCTTCCAACCATTTGTTATATGAAGAACCACGCTGAAAGAAGGGATGTATTCTCACAGGGCCCAAATAGATATTTATGGGGTGTTTGCAACCATTAGGCAGAGCCTTGGCCCTCTCCCATGGCTGGTCCTCTCCAAGTAGTATTTGAAGATATGCTGTCATCAAGACCCAGAGGTCTTGATTATTCCCAATCTCCTTCCAATTAGCTTTATTGGCTGGCTGTTTTGAGAGAGGAACAAAAGCTTTCTTCTGCTCTACATCGAAAGATAAAAGTAAAGACAGATGGAGATAGGAGATAAGGATCAGGGCAATGAAAGTTGATCTACTGGAGCATCTATTCCCAATTCAGGAGACTGAAGAATGGCCACATTTGGTCTCCTGTAGCAGAAGGGCTACAGCAGAGTGGGTGAAAGACCTAATCTTACATGCCAGAAGACCTGAGATGTCAAAGGGAGGGAGGACCTCAGGGCAGGAGGACTTGCAAGACAATTCAGAGAAGACAAGAGTTGTTGATCTATCCTTGAGTCAAAAAACAAAGCCTAGCAATTGTGGTCTCCATCGCTAATTCTTATCTGGCCTCTGCCACCTCTGCTTTACATCATAACCAGTCACCTGACCCTCTCTTCTTCCAGGTAACGGGGAGAAAAGCCTTACTGGATTTTGAACACCTTGAAACTGTTCTCGAAGGGGTCAGAATCGTGGGAAAACGCTACTTTTCTACCAATACAATAAAGAAAATTGCTGCAAAGTAAAATGATGTAGCGGTGAGCATCGCTGCAGAGCTTTCATCATCCAGACATGAACCCTAAGTAGAAAGGACTTCCAAAACCTTAAATGACCTAGAACAGGGGTAGGCAACCGTGACTCTTTTATGACTCGTGGACTTCAACTCCCAGAATTCCTGAGCCAGCATGGCTCAGCTTGGAAACCTCTCCCTTTCCCCTCAGCATGGCTGGCTCAGGAATTCTGGGAGTTGAAGTCCACAAGTCACAAAAGAGCCAAAGTTGCCTACCCCGACCTAGAACCTCAGTCATAATCCAAACTTTAAAAAATTCTAAAAAGTAGAAAATATATTTCCTCCTAATTTGAGAAGATTGGCTTCCTTAGTACTTGAGACTGCTGTCCTGAGCCCAAGATAACTTTTTTATTTTCAGGGATAAAGTGTTTAAAGTGACGCTCCAAAATTTAAAGCTAAGCATTTTGTGTGTTCTTAGTGTTTTGTTGCATGAAAATAAAGCTTCAGGGGAAAAAAAATACCGGTCTGCACTTGTATGTTGGCCAATTATTTCCCATTGGTTAGTAAGACTGGATCTGGAAGTTTTTCATTTCTATAGACTTTCTGTCTGACATCCCATCTAGCTTTCCTTCTGTCTTCCTGATCTTTTTGAAATCCCTCATCCTGACTTTCTCATTCCTGAGGATCATGTCTTCCATTATAACCCATATCTAATTTGCTTGGTGTGGGTGTGCACTTCTTCTATCGCTGCGTTTTTCTTCTATCCTTCGTCCCACAAACATTTTGCAAAACTCTTGCAGTTTCAGCAATAATATTCCAAGAAGCACTTTGTCCCCCACAAAGATCACAACTTTGGGTCATCTTAACCAACCATTCCCAGGAAAGGAATCATCACCATCATGTTCCTGAATGCATTATACTGTTGATGAGAAATAGGCATCCCCTTATAATTATGCAAATACTTTCAGTAGTTTCCCAATTTTATGAATTAGCTACTTTAGGGCAAAATCCACAAGAGACACTTACATTTTTGAATCCCCGATATAGAATCTGAAGTTCCTTCTTGGTGAACTTGCTCTGTGCTTCCAGCAGCTCAAGGGCTTCCGGCCGATGCCGCACGGTGGCCATTTCAATTTCATCTTCTATGCTGTCTGTGAAAACAAACCAAAAAGGAAAGATGGTCAAGAAGGAATCCGGTGATGGCAAAAATAGATCTCCAGTCATGACCACCACCTAAACTGGAAAAGACAGGAGTTTGGGTAGGTTAGATACACCAAGTCCATCAACTAAAAACAGCACCTGACAATAATTACAGCTCTTTGCTGTAACTGACCATACATTAATAACTTATAAAATGTCATCATAGGACTGGACTTTTAGGATTCTCAATACTGCATTCATTGCTTTTGTAATTGAGTCCATCCATCTTGCTATTGGTTGTCCTTCCTTCCTTCCTTCCTTCCTTCCTTCCCTCCCTCCCTCCCTCCCTCCCTCCCTCCTTCCTTCCTTCCTTGGAAGCCCAAATGCCTAGTCAGCAACTGCTCTTCAAAACATGGCTTGGATAACCTATTAAGTACTAAGTGGCTTTAGTTGAGTAGATAAACGTGCTAGATCCTCCAAGCCTGGTATACTGTTTTTCTATTCTGATTGTCATACTGTGCATGCCCAAAGTCTCAGATAACATCTATCATTTTAATGAGAGAGAGAGAGAGAGAGAGAGAGAGAGAGAGAGAGAGAGAGAGAGAGAGAGAGATATCTGAAGTTACTTGTTCCTACACAGTTTTCGCGTATTCTGTGTGATCTCCCTTGACATTTGCTAGGCTGCAATTACATACCAATGCTTAAAAAAAAGTGCAGAAACCACCTTCACAATCTCAGTTGCTATTAAAATAAAAGTTACCAGTTCTCAAGTTTGCAAAGAATCTTGTTGAAAATAAATGAACACTGCCTGCTGATATTTCACAATGTACGTGCGAAGACCAGGAAGAAAATTAAAAATAAATTGGTTTGGTTTTTTTTTCCCTCTGGGGATTCCTCCCAGGATATTTAAAATGAATATATTGTTTATTGAAACAGGAAAGCTAAACAATGCTGTTAGAATGATTTTAACACCCCAGTACAGAAGCAATTGCAAAGTCCTGCTCTATATGGAAGTCAGCTGAGATGAAAGCTAAGGGGTGGAGAGAGGGGTTGATTGACTGATCGTAAACAGCATAAACACATCTGCCTGCTTTTGCAAAACACAGGAGTGAGGAGGTGCTGAGTGCACAGTCTCACAACTGCTTTGTGGACTTTCCAAGTGGACCTCAGATGACTATGGAAGCACAGACCACACGGTCGCTTGGAGAGGTGTCAAAGCACAACATCTGTACATATATGTCTGAATATAAAGACAATTTGCGAAGTCTTCACAGCCACTGCATGTTCTGGAGGACCAGGCTGCCTTAATGAAATGAGGTGGGGGCCCTTTGCTCCCACCTGCCCACTTCCTGAAGACCCCCCTCTTGTGCGCTTCACACAGCCCTAATAGTGCGTTCCCTAAATATTAATCGTTCCGTACTGCGCAGTGCATACTAACTAATCCAATTTTCCAAAACCAAGCCTTTTTAGAATCTGCCCAATTTAAATACCTCTAATTTGCATTTGAGAATTAAATCTTTTTTTTTTTTTTAAAAGAATAGAAGTGGCAAGCGCGGCTGCTCAATATTCAAGAGACTTAACAGACTCCAATTTTCAAGTCATGATAAACAGCCGGAGAGCAGTTGCTAAAACCTGTCATGCAAACTGTATCCCAGGCAGTGCATTTTGGGGGGAGAGAGCAGCTTATGCTCCACTAATTTATAGCTTAAAATTTGTTCCTGACAGTACAATTTAAATGAAAGGGCTTCCAACTGCATTTCATTAAAAGATTATTTGATCACTGTGGATTCTGTTCCTTATTTAATTCTATACAGCGCCCTTTTTATTCTTCTGTGAAGCAAGAAAAAGTGGCTGTAAGATATATTATTCCCGTGCCATATTAAAGTATTATCTTCATAATCTCTCTACCCTAGGTGTTGTTTATAAAACTTTGCTTCCCGGTATTACAAGATTAAAGAAAGTAGGGTAATTTATTTCACCTACTTTTTTTTTTAACATAACGAATGAAATCAATTTAATTGCAGCAAATGACCATCCACGTAAAAAGAAGAAAAAAAAGCAAACACAACAAAAGACAGTCCAACAGTATAAAGCCTGACATTAACATTTTAAAACCGGAGAAGAAGAAAATAAAATGCAATGGAACAGAACAAAACATAAAATAAAATAAAGTCAGATAGAAACATGGCAAAATAAAAGAGAAAATAAAGACATCAGTCCAAGATTGTATGGACAATTAACCAGTGGAACAGCTTGCCACCAGAAGTTGTGGGTGCTCCCTCACTGGAGGTTTTTAAGAAGAGACTGGACAGCCACCTGTCTGAAATGGCGTAGGGTCTTCTGCTTGAGCAGGGGGTTGGACTAGAAGACCTCCAAGGTCCCTTCCAGCGCTATTCTGATTGATTGATTGATTGATTGATTGATTGAACTTGTTGTAGATAAAAACAATGCAACTCTGTTGGTGGCCTTAGGCTTCTGCTCTGTCAGTAGGAAATGGACGCAGGGACTGAGATTTCGTTTAAGGGGATAAAGATACCTGGGCAGGTAAAATGGCGTAGGAGGGCCAGCAGAAGAATTGACGCAAAATAGTTTTGGGTTTGATCGGATCACAGGGAGAACAGATCTCACTGAACGGGGTTGTATATCCCATGTAGAAAAGAGATGATAAAAAAAGATGCTGAGACTCTGGAAAGGGTGCAGAGAAGAGCAACCAAGAAGATCAGGGCCCTGGAGACTGAAACACGCAAAGAACGGTTGCTGGAATCGGCTACGTCTCGTCTAGTAAAGAGAAGGACTGGGGAGGGAACATGATAGCAGTCTTCCAATATTTGAGGGGCTACCACAAAGATGAAGGGGTTAGCCTATTTTTTTTCAGGAAGTCCTCAACTTACGATCAACACTGAGCCCCAAATTTACTGTTGCTAAGTGAGTTTTTACGACTTTTCTCAGCACATCTGCTAAGTCAATCACTCGCTACAGGTGATAAGTGAGAAAGTCAGAAAGTCACAAAAGGGGGATCATATGACCCCGGGACACCGTCATAAATGTGAGTCAGTTGCCAAGCATAAGAATTGTAAATCACAGGACCACGGGGAGGCCGCAACAGTCACAACTGTGAAAACCGGTCCTAAGTCCTTTTTTTCAGCGCTGTTATAACTCTGAACAGTCACTAAACCAACTCTTGTAAGTTGAGAACTTCCTGTACTTTAAAAAAACTAAGTTTTTTTCTCCTCATGGGACAGTGTACATGTACCATACACGTGTGTGCTTGTCGGTGCTTATATGAACCCCCCCCCAACATTTCAAGTAACAGAGAAGCTTAGCCTTTTTTGTGCTTGTTTTTGAGAAGCAGGTTGTTTATACTGGGGGGGGGGAAGAAGGAAGGAAGAAAAATCAGCCCTTCAGAAAGAATAAAGAAAGCAATTACATTTTTTCAGGACTGGTTAAGAGAGATTTGCATTTTGGGAAGAGCACGCATAATCAAAACTCACCCACAAACTCCGCTTTTAACTTTCTGAATTGGAATCTTCAATTAAAAAAAAAAAAAAATCTAGATTCCACCATAGCATAATTGTACACATTAGAAATCCAGCGTATTACACTGATTTCAGGAGTGTGATATATCTTATCAAGAATGTAAGAATTTAAAAGTTAGGATGAAAGAGTTGGGAGCGGGACGCTGCAGTTTGTTAGAAGACTTGGCGACGGGCCCACAGGAGGGACGAAGAAAAAGGGGACCCAAGTGGGGGGCAGTTTTCAAAACAGAAGACACGTCTCACTGAAGAAGACAGGATGGTATTTGAATAAGGAGTTCCTCTTATTATCCAATCCAACCCATGATTAGTAGGACTCCTTTCACAAGCAGAAAGATGCTTCTGAAACCCATCTGCCATCTGCCTGCAACTCTTAAAACTAAATGTTTTTTTCCCCTTAAGGTTATCTAAAGCAGGGATCTCCAACTTGAAGACTTGTGGACTTCAAGTCCCAGAATTCCCCAGCCAGCATTAATTCCAAGTCCCAGAATTCCCCAGTCCACAAGCCTTAAAGTTGCTAAGATTCCTGGTCTAAAGGGACATAGCTGCTTTCAAGAGCTGCACACAAACGCTGGTTTAGTATTCCTTTGCCTTTTATTCTTCCAGTTTACAGAGTTGAAGAGCCATCCCGGTCCCTTAATTCATAGAAGAAGGAAAGGGATATTGGAACCAAACAAGTGACATGAGTGGCTTGTAAGTCAACTGCAACCCTGGCCTGGATCCCATCTGTGATTCATTAAGTCACGCTGTCTTTACTGATCCGAAGCCAAAATCAGGTACAGTTCTGCGCTCAGAGATATTTCTAGGGAGAGTGACAAAGAATTTTTGGAAGTACCCCCCAAACAATTTTTTTTAAAAAGGGCAGAAAACAAACAATCTAACGGCTCCAAACACTTCCAAGAGAGATGGAGACGGTCTCCTATTGTAAAGAGGGAGAGGGGAAATTTCGGGAGGTGGAATGGCGTATCCCGAAAAGGCCACAGCGAGTTGACCAACTGGAACTTTGAAAATCAACCTTCTGTGCCCAACATTTGTTCTTCTGATTTTCGGCCAGAAGCAATTTCACCGTCCAAGAAATGGACAATATTTGTGATTTTGTGTGCCTGTAAGATACTAAAGATGATTCATGCTGGAGGGGAAGTGAGCATACCTGGATAATTCTGTGCCCTGCCTCGGTAAAGAGGTGCCAATTTTCCTGCCTGGAACCCCTTTCATCCCACACCTGCTCTGCAGTCAGATTCCAGCTCTTCTCCAGCACAGCGGTGGGGCAAAATAAGGTTTCACCTGAGAATAATTCCTCCACTTCAAGCAAAGCTGCCAAGAGGCCCATCCCTTTAAGCAGCAGGCAGAGCCAGGCATTTAAAGTCAGGGTAAATAAAAGTACCGGGGAGTCCCAATCTGCGTCAAATGTCGCCTTGTCCTGCTCGCTCCTATTTAGCAGCTTAAAAATAGTGTTGTTTTTCTTTCCACCCATTTTT